GGTCATTCTCATCACCCCCATCTGCTGGGTCACCCCCGTTCCACTGTGCCCCGGTCATTCTCATCACTCCCATCTGCTGGGTCACCTTGTCCGAGTTGTTCTTCAGCTGCACGAACTTCCCCTCCAGGTCGATCTCCTCTATGCTGACGCTGCCCGAGGCCGTGGCCTGCTGGGCCAGGTGGAAGCTGCCACTGCCACCCGTGCCCACGCCCGTGCCTAGGACGCCGGGGCCGCTGCCCAAGGGTTCCTCCACCTCCAGCCGCTTCCGCTTACTGCGGCCCAGGCGCCCGGTGGCCGGTGTGCTGCTGCCGCTGCTGCTGCTGCTCAAGGCGGCTCGAGACACGGTGACACGCGAGGATGGGCTGGGGGACAGCTTCAGCCTGGGGGGAAGGCACGGAGGGAGGGGCTGGCGGTGGGAGCCCCAGACAGCCCAGGGCACGTGGAGCGGTCGCTGCAGCCCTGCCCCGCCTCCGCCCCTGCCCCTCCTCCCAGCAGCCCCGCCCCCTCGCCCAGCGCCTCTCCCCGCCCCACCTCTCCTCCTCGCCCTCCAGCAGCTTGCGGTAGGCGCTGATCTCCATGTCCAGGGCCAGCTTGACGTCCAGCAGCTCCTGGTACTCGGCCAGCTGCTGCTGCATCACGTCCCGCATCTCCGTCATCTCCTGCTCCTTGGCGTCCAGCATCTTCCGGAACTTGTCTCGCTCCCCGGCCATGGCCTCCTCCAGCTCTCGGATGCGATCCTCAGCCGCGCTGGCCTGGGGAGGGGGCGGGCAGCCAAGGGTCACAAGGGCCCGGGTGATCCTGGGACTGCGGGAGATGGGTGTGATCACCGCGGACCGGGCAGAGACCAGCCTCGGGCGTGGGGTGCACGCGAGGGGAGGGAAGGGGCATCGCCGGGCGCCCCAGCGCTGCGGCCACTGCGGAAAGGCTGCTACCCCGAGCCCTGCACATCCCGGGGCAGGGCCCAGCGGTCCGGCCAGGGGGACGGCGGCGGTGGCGCTGTGCTCGTCACCTGCTTCTGAAGCCCGGAGAGCTGGAAGCTGAGGGACTCCAGGCGCATGCGGGCCTCCTTCAGCTCCTCGCGGGCCGCGCTGGCCGCCTTGTCGTTCTGGTCGGAGCTCAGCTTGGCGCTGTCCAGCTGCGGGGACACGGGCGGGTGAGGGCGCGCACGGGGCGGCGGTCCCCCCGGCCACGCCGCCCGCCGGCCGCACCTTGGCCTGGTAGGTCTGCTCCAGCTCCAGCTTGTAGAGCCGCACTTGCTCGTCGTGCTGGCTCCGCAGCTCCTCCAGTGCCTGCGCCATCTTGAAGTCGTACTCCTGCTGCCGGCTGCTGTCCACCTCCACCAGGCGCCGCTCGTGCCGCCGCCGCGTCTCGCGAACCTCCTGGGGACCAGCCTCCATGACCCTCCGAGCCGCCAGGCCCCAAGCCCCAGACCCAAGGGAGTGCTCCAGCACGTGCCAAGAGGAACCTCCAGGCAATTCCTGGTTCCCTGTGCAGGAGTTAGGAGCCGATGCACGTGCAGGGGAGGGGCGGCCCGAGGGCCATCCACAAGGAGCAGGGCTCCGACACTGGCCTGAGCGTGGATGCACCTTGAGGACGCCAGGCACAAAAGGCCGCAGAAAGCGTGACCCCATTCCCACGGAAATGTCCAGGACAGGCCCAGCCCCAGAGGCGGGACGGGGGATGATGGAGATGGGGTTGTTTTTGGGTAATGGAATGTTCTAGAATTAGAGGCGGTGGTCGGACAATCCTGTGGAGGTCCTACCAATGCTGAACTGTACATTTCAGAAAGGTGGACTTAAAATAGCTGGGCATGGGGCACAGGTGAGGTGGCTCACGCCTGTAATCCCAGCACTTTGGAAGGCCGAGGCGGGTGGATCACCTGAGGTCAGGAGTTCAAGACTAGCCTGACCAATATGGTGAAACTCCATCTTAATTTAAAAAAAAAAAAAAAAAGCTGGGCGTGGTGGTGGGCGCCAGTAGTCCCAGCTACTCAGGAGGCTGAGACAAGAGAATCACCTGAACCCAGGAGGTCGCAGTGAGCCGAGATCACACCACTGCACTCCAACCTGGACAAAAGAGTGAGACTCCAAAAAGAAAAAAACAAAAAGAGTGAACTCTTTCATAAAAGCTATTATTTAAGAAAGCGGGCTGGGCGTGGTGGCTCATGCCTGTAATCCCAGTACTTTGGGAGTCCAAGGCAGGCGGATCACCTGAGGTCAGGAGTTCAAGACCAGTATGGCCAACATCGCAAAACCCCATTTCTACTAAAAATACAAAAATCAGCTGGGTGTGGTGGTATACACCTACAATCCCAGCCACTCAGGAGGCTGAGGCAGGAGAACCGTTGGAACCCGGGAGGTGGAGGTTGCAGGGACCCGAGATCATGCTGCTGCCCTCCAGCCAGGGCAATGGAGCAAGACTCCATCTCAAAAAACAAAAACCAACCAGCGGAAACGCTTCTGAAGGAAGCAGGCCACATTTGCAGTGGGTGAGGCGGGTGGCCCGGTGGAGCTCTGCAAGCCACGCACCCACCTTCACGGCCACCCTCTCCGGGGTCCCGCATCCTGTGGGCTGCATGGGCCTGGGCCAGGCTCCCCACAGCAGCTCCCTCTGAGGGTCCCTCAGCAGTGTCTTCCCAGGGCCCCACACAACCTTCATGGGTCTCTTCACAGGTGCCCTCGTGGGTTCTACCAGGGGTGTGTTCCCGGACCCCCGCACAGTCCTGCTGAGTCTCCTCACGGACTCTCTCACAGGGTCCCCCACAGGCCCCCTCACAACGGCCCCGGCGGCCTCCCTTCCGGCTCCCGTGGGGGCCCCCGCGCTCTCTGGGCCTGGCCGGAGTGGGGCATGAGTCTGCGGCTGTCCCAACATCCCTCCGCCAGCAGCTCTCCCTGGGGAGTGGGCATGGGCCTGGCCAGCCCGGGCATTCCACCCTGCACTGTGACATCACAGCGGGTCCTGAGGGATGTGATGGTCCCTCCTTGTGAGGGGCTCTGCAGGTCGGGGAAGGAGGCTGGGTGGGGAGTATAGGCCTCAACCCTGCTTTGGACAGGGAGGCCTGTGGGAGGCTGCAGAGTGGCCCCCAGAAGATGCACCTGACCCCTGCCTCAGGGTCTAGCGGTTAGGACCCAGGCGGCCACACTCAGCTCCCAGGGTGCGAATGCCAAGCTTTAAGAAAGGCAAGAAATCCATGTAGACCTTCCTTGACACACAAGAGATGTGTTGTGACCGGCGGGGTGGCTCAGGCCTGTAATCCCAGCACTTTGGGAGACTGAGGCAGGAGGATCACTTGAGCCCAGGAGTTTGAGAGCAACCAGGGAAACATAGCAAGACCCAGTCTTTACTACCTAAAAATAACATTTTTAGGTAGTGCGGTGCTGTGGCTCACGCCTGTAATCCCAGCACTTTGGGAGGCGGAGGCGGGCGGATCACGTGAGGTCAGAAGTTAGAGAGCAGCCTGGCCAACATGGTAAAACCCCGTCTCTACTGAAAATACAAAAATTCCCTGGGCATGGTGGTGCGTGCCTGTAATCCCAGCCACTTGGGAGGGTGAGGCAGGAGAACTGCTTGAACACGGGAGGAGGAGGTTGCAGTGAGCCGAGACTGCACCTTTGCGCTCCAACACGGGCAACAGAGTGAGACTCCGTCTCAAAAACAAAAAAAACATGTGCCCATGTCCCGGTGCCCAGCAGCTGCAAATGACCCTTATTTGCAAACGGGGTCTCTGTAGTGTCGTTAGGTCATTTTGGATGATCCAGGAGGACCCTGATTCCAATGACACGTGTCCTTGTCAGATACACAGAGCATGGGCGCAGAGAGGAGGGAGCCACGGGAAGATGGGGACAGACACGAAGCCAAGGCCGCCCTGGGTGCAGGAGGATCCTCCCTGGAGCCGTGGGAGGGGCCCGGCCCGACCTCTCGGTGCCCTCGGACTTCTGCCCTCCACAGCCGTGAGGGTGGATTCTGTTTCTGCCATGCCAGGCTGGAGGCCGGGCGGCTGCTCACCTCCTCGAACACGCTCTTCCGGAAGTCCAGCTCCTCCTGCAGGCTCTGGCAGCGGTTCTCCAGGTCCACGCGCATCAGCGTCTCCTTCTCCAGCTGCTTTTTGGCCACTGCATGACCGTCCTCGGCCTGAGAGGCACAGTACAGCGTGCTGGCGTGACAATCTGCCGCCCGCGCCCTGCGGGGGCGTCCCACAGCCCCTACCACCTACCTTGGCCAGCTGGGCCCGCAGCTCAGCCACGTCACTCTCCAGGCCACGCTTGTCACCAAGGGCGGCTGCTAGCTCCGCCTCGCTCCGGTGGAACAGGGACTCCAGGTCCTTCACTCGGCCCTGGGCCACCGTGAGCTCACCCTCCCTCTTCTTGGCGCTGAAAGTCAAGAAGGCAAGTGAGCAGGGAGGGGCAAGGCCCACCGGGCCACAGGGAGCTCCCCGGGGGGCATCGTGCAAGCCCAAGTACAACGTCACCAGGGCCTCCGAGCCCTGGACCTTCCCGTCCCACAGATGACGCAGCCCTGGGCACCCCGGCAAAGCCACCTGTGCCCTCCTGATCTGCCCTGCACTGTCAGGAGTCCAACAAGTGACAGACACCAGCGCTTGGGACCACGGGAGCCATGGGCTCTCCCAGCCTCTCCTGCCCCTCTGGACCTCGAAGGACCATCTGAGGAGAAATTAATGCATCCTCTATGAACGTTACAAAGGAAGACCCTGGCCTTTCAAGAGTCAGCCTTGTTTGTAAACTTAAGCTGTCTGAAGCAGGCTCACCTGCCAACATGAGCTAATGAAGGCAGCCAATACTCAGACTTCTTAAACACACAAATACTGCCAGTGTGGACTTCAGGCACTTAAGCATTTTTTTTTAAGAGACGGGTTCACTTGTTTGCCTAGGCTGGTCCAAGCAATCCTCCTGTGTTAGCCTCCCAAAATACTAGGATTATAGGTGTGAGCCATCAAACCAGGTGACTCTTAAATGTTTTTAAGCATAATTCTAAGTCTTTTTTTGTTTTGAGAGGGAGATTCGCTCTGCAGCCAGGCTGGAGTGCAGCGGCGCAATCTCAACTCACTGCAACCTCTGCCTCCCAGGTTCAAGTGATTCTCCTGCCTCAGCCTCCTGAGTAGCTGGGACTTACGGGCACGCACCACCATGCCCAGCTAATTTTTGTGTTTTCAGTAGTGACGGGGTTTCACCATGTTGGCCAGATGGTCTCGATCTCTTGATCTCATGATCCACCTGCCTCAGCCTCCCAAAGTGCTGGGATGACAGGTGTGAGGCACCGCGCCCGGCCCACATAATTCTAAGTCTTGGAGCCAAATTTTGCCCCCTCCCACCAGGGAACTAACTTTATCCCCCCAAGCAACAGTGAGGACACCCAGTGTCTCAGCGTCACAACTGCTGACATTCGGGACCGTCCTGGGCACTGCAGGTGCTGGGCACTGTCCCTGGCCTCCACCCACTGCAGACCAGGAGCCCCTTGCTGCCCAGTTCTGACAATCATAAATGTCCCCAGGAATTATCCAGTGTCCCCTGGGGACAAAATCGCCCCAGGATGAGGACAACTGGGTGTATCAGGAACAACACAGCAAAGGTTGCTGCCTGGGCATTAAAAGAACCCCACATCCGGGCGGCTCGAGCCCAAGCAGAGGTAAGAAGTGACAGAGATCTCTCCTGCCTAGTGGAATGCGCTTCCCCCATTCCCCAGGGCCTTTCAAAAGACCACCTAGGCATTTGCCCACAAACTGAAAGTGACCCACAACTGTTCCCCAGTCTGTCTAACCATATCTCTATCGATAACTGTATCTACATAATCTATGTCCATATATATCAACCTACAGATAGCTATATCTACTGCCCTATCACTGTCTATCCATCTGTCTATAATCCATCATCCATCTACTCATCTATCCATCATCTCCATCCATCCATCCATCATCCATCCATCCATCCATCCATCCTCCATCCATCCACCATCCATCCATCATCCATCCATCCATCCATCATCCATCCATCCACCATCCATCCATCATCCATCCATCCATCCACCATCCATCCATCATCCATTCATCCATCCATCATCCATCCATCCACCATCCATCCATCATCCATCCATCCATCCATCCATCATCCATCCATCATCCATCCACCATCCATCCATCATCCATCCATCCATCCACCATCC